TAGCAGTGAGAGGTACATACTTGTCTTGGAAAATAACCATAAAGGCTTTCCATGTCGGCTCTACTCTACCTTGGCGTACTTCCACCATTGGCCCGCATCCCCCTTGAGGTAGTAACTCGCTAGAGTCACTCTTAACTCGTTATTGTCGATGTGAAGCATCTCAAATGTCTTCACCGTTTGCCCGAGCCACTCATCCGTTTTCTTGGGCTCGGGGCCACCATGGAACTTATCCAGTTTGGCCCGCAAAAACTTTCTAGTAAGAAAACTCACTTTTGTCTCTACAGCCTTTTCTCGGGCTTGGTTCTCCGCCCTCAACAATTCATCAATTCCCTCAAAGCCCATGCCATTTCTTGGGCTAAAGCCCCCATTGTGGCTTGACCCGCCTGCTTCAGAACCCCCGCTTGCCCTACTTGCTCGGCTATATTAGCTTGGCCAGCTTGCTTGGTTGCATTAGGTTGGCCAAACCCTTCCTCTTGTACCGGAACCTCATGGACCAGTACTTTATGTACACCTCAACGAGGCCTACTGCGTCTCCCACCTCTACCACCACGGGCTTGACCTCATCCTGACATCCTAATAAAGGAATAAAGTAAACAATTTAGCACACAAACTTAACAATTTTATATATATACTTCTCCACTATATAAACAAGTTAGTTTCACTCCACATAAGCACTTGGTCACATAAATACATACTAATTATTCCTTTACGATGAAATTCGTCCCACGAAATACCAAGATTTCTTAGTAGAACGAGTATTGATCAAGTACCCTTCTAATAAGACCTCAAAAAATTTAATAGGCATGAACCATAACCCAAAAGTCCAGCCCATACCCATTTAGTCATATAACCATGTTATCACATAGCCACAAAATATACAACATCTCTTAATCATGGGAAATGAACCCATTGTGGCAAAACAACCACTTCCCACGAGCCCTAAGCATTCAAACCAGGTAGCTTTGATACCAAGTTCTAACGCCCCAAGAAAATATGCCTAATAAAATACGTCCACCACTGCTCTCTACAATAAATAAAAGTGAATCTCCAACACTGAAATACATAATCATATGAGATTTACAAAATATTTCTGCATGCAATTATGCATTCAATGACTTTAGTGCATGAATCTATAGCATGTAAAACATCCAGTCAAAATAAATAAATTCCCTCAAGGGGCTACAAAGTTCAAGGCTTAAGCCCGGTTACACAAAATGGTTGCTCGAACCCATACAAATATAGCCCTTGGCTTGCAAAAAATATGATCACAACAAAACTAGAGCCTTGTGCTCTCAACATACACATCCACGCCCTTAGTTTGGCAGAATCACTACATCTTTTCCTGCACAAAATCCCATAGGATAAGCATAAAGCCCAGTAGGAAATTCTTAACAAAGTATATACATTTTATACAATTCTCACACAGTGAAATGCATATGCATATGCCATGCCATGCCATGCTTTTAACAGAAAGTCATGTTATCATCTTCTTTTTTTTTGAAAGCCATCATGCTCAATGAAAACTTGAAGATCTAACAATTTAATCATTTTAGATCAAGTTCAAGGGGCGGTAAATACGACTCAAGTAATTCATGGGTTAGTGTATTCAAGTAGGCATAACTAGCACTACTAAACCCCCCACTTTACCGGTAGCTAACCGGAAGGCACGTGGTACCTCCTCCGCTTGTGTTTTCGGTCTTTCATCCTGGACACTCAGGCCAACTTAAACAATTTTCTCTACACCCCCTCTCCGGACTTACCAATGTATTTGCCCTAAAACATGGAATTTCATTTCACACACATTTCACTTTTAAATGCAAAATTTTCAATTCTCAATTCAAAACTTGTAATAACCAAATGAATTGAAGTGTCAATGCAGCATATAAAAATACATAGTAATATCCTTCCATTTTCAATTCTTCCATACAATTCTTCCCATTTTGGTCACCATTCCCATTTCTCTTTCTAGAGAAATTTCACAAGATAAACATATATACTCATCAATCACTATCGAGGAGCAACAACATTCCACATTTCATTCATTTTCATCAACTTTATCGTTTCATGACTATATCAACATTTAGAGCAACAAACTTCCCACTAATTCTCATGTCAACATTTGTCATAATATTGATCAATAATCAATTTCATAACATCACCACATTTTCTCAAAATTTTCCAAATCTCTAGGGTTTCCATAAACTAGGTTTTCCTCCTCATTTTGAAAGAATTATTTCAAGCTAACACTTCTCTACAATAATATAACTCACAATCTCAAGGATTTTTAGAAAAACATTATGGAAATCCACCCTTAAAATCATTCACAACACATGAGCCAACATCAAAGTTTCCAAACTTCCCAAAAAGTTCCAAATCAATATAATATGGCAAATATATATATATAATTCTAAGAAAATCCCTTCCTCAAGTTTGAAGAAGAAATGAGATGAAACCCTCCAAAATCAATCATTGTGTTTGGTTTCAGTTTTCTGGATTAAGTTTTTCGAAAATTGACTTTTTTGGTTTTTGTGTTTTTTTTGTTTTTAGTGAATACTTTTTAAATTTTAAACATTTTTTTTTACTTTTTTAGATGCACCTTACTTAGATGTATTTAAAAAGTAAAAAATTTGTGAAAAAATATTTTAAAAAATTAATAAATACATAAAAATACAAAAAATGTACTGAATTCTTGTATTTTTTTTTGTATTTTTGGTATTTAGTGAATTTTTGAAAGATTTTTTTTACAATTTTTTTACTTTTTAGGTGCATTTATGTTAGGTGTCTCTATAAAGTAAAAAAAATTGCTTAAAATATTAAAAAAATTCAGTAAAAACAAAAAAATACGGAAAATAAGATAGTAGAATTTTCTAAAAAGTGTTTTGGAAAACTGGAAACCAAGCAAGGTGAATAGTGTTGAAACTTGATCTCCACCACACAAAATGTAACTCTTAAGAAGTTCTCTAACTTTAATCAAGGAACTAGGGTCAAAATGTTAATGGATTTGGAGAAATCAATGATTTTGTGAGGTTTGGTGTAGGAAAAGTAGAGAGAAGGAGGAGAAATGTGTGTTTAGAGAGAGAGAGAGAGAGAGAGAGAGAGAGAGATGATAAAAAAGTGATATACACTCAGCCCAAGAAGAATGAAAAAATAGATTTTTCAGACTCAGCTTTATTTTGCAAGTGCGGTACCCCCATCCGCACATGCGTCTTTCGCCCCCGTATATGCGGCACTCTCTCTCTCACCTCCTGCCGCACGTGCATATAATGTAGTAGCCAACCCATAATTTCCCTTCCTCACCGCACTTGAGGCCTAACTTCCTACACGTACGGCCCCTCTTTCACACGTGCGGCCCTGTCTCCTAGTTAGAGATTTTACTAGATACACTGAAAAAAACCCGGATCCAACCTCATGCCTCCCGAAACATGTGAAACTTGACACCACAATAAATAAGAACAAGGATTTTGAGAAAGGTTTCCAAATGCAACAAACCCAAATAGTTAACAAGACTTCAAGTTAAACTTGACACCCTAACAAGGGTAAACCCAACATAAATAAAAAAGGAACGAGGCAGTTACACGCACTCGGTCATCACATTCTGTTGATCTGTTTTGTTGGTAGAGAATTTTCTTTGTTGTTGTTGAATGAATAGAACAAACAAATTCCATTTTTGGCAGATAAGAATAAAATTTGAATTGAAAAGATAAAACAAATTGAACAGATAGGTCAAAATATGTTTAAAAATTAAATAGATAGGTCAAAATAGGTTGAAAAAAGTTAAGCGGACGTATATTTGAATAGATAAATGAAAAAAAAAATGAACAAATTATAAAATTTGGATAAATATTTGAACAAATAAGGGAAAAATTGAACAGATAGTCAAAAATTTTGAATAGATAGGAAATAATTTGAACAGAGGGAAAAAATTAGATAGATAGGAAAAAAATTTGGACAGATAGTCAACAAAATTTAATACATAAAAAAGTCAACAAATAAAAGGGTAAAATTGAAAACAAAATGTCCTTTAAAACAAATAAAAGGACTTCTCACAAAACTATTTTATAAAAGGTGGACCTCGCCTTATACATTTCTTAGGTTGGATTTTTCAACAATTTTCTCAATTTTGTATTATAATTTTTTATTTTTTAAAAAATAATTTTGAAATTTAATAAAACAAATTTTCAATTAAAATTGAAATTTGGGTCAAATTAGCCCCATATGAGCCAAGCTTGCCCAGAGACCTGTTAGCCCATGTTTTTAAGGACATGAGTAGGTTCTAGGTCTTAAAAATATAAGATGGGCCGCTCTGAACCCGATTTATTATTGACTGGTCAAAATTTATGGACATGGATTTTGTTAATGCATTTAACTCAAAATCAATTGAATACGAGTAAAGAGAGGCCCTTATCACGCTAATGTTATATCGTTAGTTATTTGCCTGAATAACACCAATTGGTCCCACATAAATTGAAATTAAAACCTTGGAAGATTAATAAATAAACGAAATTGATAATTTAAGTATGAAATAAATAAGATTGTGATAGAATTATAATTAACTCAGAAATAAAAAGAAGGGAAGTGTTTGTTACTTACCATTTTGAACACAAAATTAATGACCACAAAATAAAAATATTAGCTATGTTTTTTTTAATCTTATTTAAAGAAATGTCAACATAAATTGTTGAAAAATCCATCCATGTGGGGTTACATATAATTTAGTTCAAAGTTTAATCTTTTTTAGTGATGAGGACAAGTGTTGAAAATCAGTAGTGTCAGAAAAGTAGCCGGCCAGTAGCGGCGTTGAGGTGGATAAATATGTGACATTGAATAGATAGGTGAATAGGTAAGTGTTGCATGTACAGGTAGGTGGACATTTGAATATTTAGTAGGACATATAGTTGCATTTTTAACATATATCTCTACCAATTTTATAATATTTATTGCATTTGTTACAGAAACTTTAAAATAATAATTATAATTTACTTAAGAAAGATTGTATGAGTATGAGTGCAGCTGAAGAACCATCCATGGTGGAGTTAGACAGCACGCTAACCATAGAAGAAAAGATTGGTAAAAAATACATTATAATTGTAATTATAATTATAACCTTGTATTGGAAAATATTACACGATTTTTCAATGATTCTTTTAATCATATATTAATTAACACTTCTAATAATTTTATTGTTGTTTAGAAAGATAGTGAAAATTTTTATTTTTTCTGTCAACTTTATTAAATGACAAAAATTGATGAGGGTATTTGAAATTTCCATAACCACAATGTACGATCTATATTTGAATCTAATATGAGAGACAGTATTTGTGATTTATCATATTTTTATCTATATAGTCCTTCAAGTTGCAATGAAAATAATCTCCAACATATATGTTAGAATAGTAGAGAGAGAGAAAATATTATGTATTGTATTGAATGAATTATATTGAATGAATCATATACAATAGAAAGCCGGTATGTATAGGCTGAGAAAGAATATCCTACTGGAAACCTAACTAATCTAACTATGGCTATTCCTAAATATATTTAGGAAATCAATATCTAATATATCTAGGAATACCACATATACATTAACATCCCCCCTGTGGAGTCCACCATAGGTTCCGTTTCAATTATGTGAACCGTTCACCTTTTAAGATTCATTGAGTAGAATATCCATGTAAAATGTTAAGATGGTCGGATATCGATAGTCATATATTTGAATCAAGTTTATATTACAAAAAATAGATAATTATTTTTAAAATTATAATTGCCATCTATTTTTTTTAAAATAAATATGATTCAAACATATAACTACCAATGCCCGATTATTTTGATTTTTAACATGAATATTTTACTCAATGAGTCCAAAAAAGTGAACGGTTCAAAATACCAAAATCAGTTTCAAAATGGGCTTATCTAGCTCAAACACTCTCTCAAATTAAAATGACAATTTCAAAAAAGCCAAGCCCATTATAATTTACCGAATAAAGATGCAGAAAATTGCTTTGGACCCCCACTGGGGGTCGACCCCCAGTGAGGTGGCGTTCTGTGATTGGATAAAAAAAAACTGTTTACTGGGGGTCGACCCCCAGTGAGGTGGCGTTCTGTGATTGGATAAAAAAAAAACCTGTTTTATTTTTTTATTTATTTATTTTTTTTTTTAAACTTCAGCCAGTGGGGGCTCGCCACCTCACTGGGGGTGCGACCCCCACTGGGGGTCTGCAGCAGTTTTGTAAAGATGCATATGGGTGCATTAGAACCATGCATCACGGAATTAGACAACAACCTAAAGCCAAGCCCATTATAATTTACCGAATAAAGATGCAGAAAATTGCTTTGGACCCCCACTGGGGGTCGACCCCCAGTGAGGTGGCGTTCTGTGATTGGATAAAAAAAAACTGTTTTATTTATTTATTTATTTTTTTTTTTTTTAAACTTCAGCCAGTGGGGGCTCGCCACCTCACTGGGGGTGCGACCCCCACTGGGGGTCTGCAGCAGTTTTGTAAAGATGCATATGGGTGCATTAGAACCATTCATCACGGAATTAGACAACAACCTAAACCATATAAAAGACCAGGTAAAAAGACATTATTATAAGCTTTGTATTAAAAATTATTAGACAATTTCTAAATCACTCTTAATTATAAAAATATGTATGCCGTGCTAGCTTTGTCACCTCATTTCAAGCACATGGGCATTGAAAGTCCGATTTGCTTATAATGACAAATTCAAATCTATTGTTTAAGTACTTGTTTGATGGGGAATTTTTTTTTAAGTTTCCTAATATTAAAATTTTATAGGATAAAGGACATACAATATTTTCATAGTGATTGGAATTCCCTCAATATTTTTCTAGAAAAATTTCGATCCAAAAAAATTTTGATTCAGAGAAATTTCAAAATACAGAGAAAATTTAGACAAATTTCCCTATGTTTTGAAATTTCTCTGGTTTAAAATTTTTTTGGTTTGCTGAATTTCGCTGATTTTCTCAAAAATTTATCTATGATTTGAAATTTCTTTAGTTTGGAATTTTCTAATTTGCTTAATTTCACAGATTTTCTCTGTCTTTTGAAATTTTCTGTGGATTGAAATTTCTCTGATTTGCTCACAAATTTTCTTGTATTTTGATCAATTTTTTTTGATTTACTCATATTTTTTTTTCTACATTTTGACCAAATCAAAAAAAAAAATCAAACATATTTCTGCATAACACATACAAAAAAGCATGTGTATATATTGCTGTATTCCTTATCAAGGTACCTAAATGATTGAAGCTTCTAGGTGTCTTTCTCTCTCTCTCACTTAGTGATGATGATATATGTTTTGTACTATGCACTACTACTTTTATTAAGTAATATATCTCCCCAAGGTTTGGTCAATTGCTAAAATTTTCACATTCACACAGATCATATATAGATAAAAGTAAAGCAGCCATTATAGTTTTGAGAAAAATAGAAAAAGTAATTAGCTCAAGAAATCAAAATACTAACATACTAGTGTTTGGACAGCAGATGTGGGGTGGCGGGAGTGGTGGTCACGGTAGTGGTGGTGACAGAAGAGGCGTCAATGTGGGAGGCGGAGGAGGAGGTTACGACAGAGGACACTACAATATATAAGAGTTTTAGAGACCAAATTTTTTAGTCTCTAAAAGTAAACATTTTGTTGCAAAAGACATTGATGGACCAATTTCTATCGTCGTGAGGGTAGTCGCTAAAAGGTCGTTCCGAAAAGTAAAAACCAAGCCTTACAAAATTTTGAAAATGTCACTAATAAATAGACTTTTAAGGACAAAATAATTTGGTTTCAAAATGGTTTATTTTTTGAGACAAATTTTGGTCATAAAAAGATAATAATTCATCACTAATGTTCAATTTTCATTGTTAAATATATAGTAACAACACTTTTTGCAATAAAAATATTTGGTCCCCAAAAAATAATTTTGTCCATAAATTTTAGTCACTAAAAATTTAATTTTTTTGTGGTGGGAGATGAAGATAGAGATGAGAGAGAGAGAGAGAGAATGAGAGAGTGGGCGTGATATATGGGTGTGGGTGAGGGACCTTAGGCTACAATATATATATATATATATATATATATTATGGATCTCTCCTATTATTAAAAGTTAGAGAGGAATGTTAGACTAAATATCCCTTATTTGATTGGACAAATTATAATATATAATTGAAATTATTAATTTATAAGACTCACATTTTATCCTTCAGGTTTTATTTTTTGGATTAGACATTTTATCCACAAAATTGTGGAATTTTTAAATTTTACAACTAATAATACAAAAAATCACACAATTGGGATTATACATTTGCATGTCTATTGCAAAGCAAATAGACATAAGAGAAAATTATTTATCTCACTAATCCAGCTTGATAACCAATCATACTCTAATAGTTCCAAAGGCTAAACTTCTTTGTTATCAAAAGTGAAAATTTTGTTGGAAAAAATATTTGGGGACCAATTCATGTTGTCATCAACATAGTTGCTAAAAAGTTGTCTTGAAAAGTCAAAAAATGGATTTTAGTGACAATTTTAAAAATGTCTCTAATAAATGTGTACCTTTTGATACAAAATAATTTGGTCCAAAAAGTATAATAATTCTAATTCGTCACTAAAAATATAATGGCATTTTTAACAACAAAAAGATTCAGTTCTTAGAGAGCCATTTTTTACCCAATTTTTGGTCAGTAAAACCTTAATAGGTTGTGGGAATTTTTATTGATATATTTTTTGGGGTAAAATACACTTTGCCCACTTTATGTATGGTCACTTTCTCATTTTTATCCGTAAAGTTTAATTTTTTCCCCTTTAACCTTTCATGTTTAAGTTTTTTATACTTTACTCCTAAAACTAACTTCTGCTCAAAATTACACAAAAAATGTCACGATAACTATTACATAATATAAAAAATATATTATTATATTGGGATTTGAGTTTGTATCAAAGATTTGAGTATATATATATATAATAAAGGAATAGGATCCCCACCAATTCATATTTTGGACTGAAAGGTGCGGTTTGGACCTCTGAAACCCATTACGAGTCTCATTTCGATGATCTGAATTGTTTTGTCAGACACTTTGTGTATTTTATCCACACAAAAAATTAGGTCAATCCAATGATTGTAATTTATTCAATTTATTGTGTTTTTAAACCAAAAAAATGTATGATTTATTTTTAAAAACACAAATCTTTTTTGTTAAAAAAATGATAAATTGAATAAGTTATAATTATTGGATAGACCTAATTTTTTGTGTAGATGGAATATACAAACTATCCGACAAAATAAACGGTTCGAATCATCAAAACGGAACCCATAGTGAACCCCACGGATCGAAACAGTGCCCTCCAATCCATAATACAATATTTTTATAAAATGTTTAAAATATTTTTTGAAATAGAAAAGTCAATAGAAGCATTTCAATAAGCAGTTAGAAAAAAGATATTAGAAATGGATTTAGTTGTTGAAGAACCGTTCACCATTGAATTAAATGGTGAATGAGGAAAAAGGTTACTCACTGAGGACTTGGTAATTCTTCTCTCATTAGCATTGGAACACACTTAACGAAAAATTCAACTACTCTTATCTATATCCATATTCAACTATTCTCGATGGGCCATTTAATGCCCCAGTCCAGATGGTATCTAAGCCCTGTTTGGTAGAGCTGTGGGAAAGTGCTTATAGCTTATGCCTAAACAGCTTATAGCTTATAACTTTCAGCTTAAGCTGATTTCCAGCTTATTCTTAAAGCATCTCCTGCCCCACTCAAAGAATAAGCTGATTTCTGACTTCCAAAAAGCTATAAGCTATAAGCTAAACCAAACACATCAAAATAGCTTAAATTAAGCTGAAAGCTGAAATAAGCTGAAAAAAAGCTCTGCCAAACACGCATATTGTAGGGCTTATTTCCACTTCCATGGCTTTCCATACTTGTGATCAC